GCGTACTGGGCCTTCTGTGTAAACTCAACATATGGTGAACGACCTTCTTCCTAATAAGATCCGAAAAGATTACTAATAGTCCCTAACAAAACATGAGGTTTAAATCGCCTTTATAACAGTGGTAAATATTACTGACAGTGGCTTCAGTAGTAAAACTCCTTTTTCCGGAAGTTTCAAAAAGGAGAAGAGACCTTAGGTAGCTAGAACAACTATAATCGCCTCGTTTACTGTTTTATGAATGCCTTCCCTTCCTTAAAAAAGCAAACCAACGACCAGACCCTTCTTCGAGGCTCACACCACACACACACACACAACAACTTAAAACGCAAACACACATAACGCAAAACAAAGGCCCCTTTGGGGAGTGCGATAGAGCAGGTCACATATAGTGTTTGTTGTAAAGGATCAGATGTTATCTCTTCTCTATAAAAGGTCCTTACACACCAAGCCGATTTTCAGCATCGATAGATGTCGTTAGATGTCGGGCCGTCGATGAGCGTCCTGTCGCCCTACTCAGATTGGGGTGTCTTGGTGTGTCCCGCACCGTCGTGTCTTTTCGGCCGTGCAGACACCTTCCGCCGCCGATTCGACATGTTGAATCGGGAGGTTGTCGGCCAAAGAAATCACTCTGATTGGCTGTTCAGCTTAGGGAATCAGTGCACGAAAAGCGAAACGGAAGGGACCCAAACAAACTATTAGGAAGGCAAATCTGAGATTTCATTTAACTCCAGCTCTCGACACAGGTTCGGGAAAGCCCCATGAGCTTCTCGCTGTAGAGTGAAAATGGAACGCACACGCTATTTGTTGTTTGTTTATATCAATATATATATATATGTTGTCTGTTCTTCTTCTCTTGATGTATCAAGCAGTCTGTCTTCCGGTTGTTGCCTCTTTTGAATGACGAATACACACTACTGCTGCTGGTAAGGAGAGTTATTGCCACTCACGAATGCGCATTTCGTACGTGCAACTTGGCCGTCGGCTGAAGTCTTTGCGGTGTGTTCCAGTGAGAAACATGGTTTTGGCCGCGTCCCTGTGACAGGCACGCGGCCAAAACGCAGGTGACGTGAGGCGGCGTCGGGACGTGTTCTTTGGTGTCAGTTTGGTGTGTGTGTGTGTGGACCTTAAGCTGTACTGTTCTGTAGGCTAATACTTTAAGTGGGAATCTATACGCCTACTGCCTGAATCTGCTTTATGGTTTTCACTTTTTTTGGTTCATTTGTTCTCTTTTTAATTCAGCAGTTGAACCTTTATGTTCATAAAATAGTGTGTGTGAGCTTAACTGTGAGCAGGATTTCATATGAATAAAAAAATTTCTGATACTAAACATGTAGCCTACCTGTGTAGCTTGAGCTCGTTCTCCTGGTACATTTCTGTCATAATCTGGAGTTTCTGTTGTAATTTTTGGACCTAAACACATGGAGAAAATAAATTAATCCCAAAGCAAATGAATGTGAAAAAAGAATAAGATAAAACATCACACTAATATGAGGCAGGTACCTGATCTGAGTATGTCTCAGCTTCTGTCTGCAGAGAGGACTTCTCCCTTTCCATCTCCTTAATGCTCACTAAAGGGGAAAAACAGACATTTTTATGTTGTACAGATTAAATACATCATTTGGAATTGGAAATCTAAATTGTTGTGTAGTTGCCTCACCTTGCAGGTCTTCTTTAGCTTTGACTTCATCGTCCAGTTTTGCAAATAATCTGTCCTTGTCTTCATCGACAGATTTGAGGTCTGCATTCAGCTACACACAATAACACAAACAAAAAGTCAGCACTCACTGAAGAGGAAAGATGTTTCCGATCAAGTCAATGTTTTTTGTCCGTTTGTGTCAAATACCTTAGCGGCGTAGATGAGTTTCTGGACTTTCTGCAGATGGCCTTGTGTGTCCTTCATAATGTCTCCTTTTCTGTCCTGGGCTGTACCGTTGGACGTCTCCTTCTCTCCTCCTTCCTCACCTTCCCCCTCTTCCAGTTCTGAATCCCAAGCTTTCATACTCAGCAGGCGATCTGTCAAAGACTGGAGGCGTACATATAATAGATGTTACCTTTATGCCAAACAACACAAAGTAATGTGAACTAATACGATCACTGTAAAGCACAATATGCCATTATCAGCCACTAGGGCAAAAACAAAAGAAGGTGTTTGGTGGCTTTGTGAAGTGGGACTTAGGAGTATGTTCCAGCAATCTCCAATGAATCCTTCCTCGTATATCAATCAGGAGGTTTTTACTGAGAACCGAATTATACGCATACAGAAGACCCCTCCTCTCCAAAACTAACAGTCTCTTGGATTAAAAGTAGTAAAAAGGTAAGTTTGAGAAACCGGCTCGAGATACACTTTTTGTTATATTCCATGGAATGCTCTTAACATCCTGATAGCAATGAATATATTAAGTGCTTTGACAAAAAATCCGAAAAAAATATCATCTGTGGAAGTCGTAGCACTGTAAAAAGCACGACCAATCATTTTAGCCGGCCCGGCTAAAATAACTGGATGGCCTACCTGCCTGTCAGCCTTCCATCTGTGCACAAATTTATCTCGTGCCCTCATTGGTCATGTGCGCGTTCGTGTGTGTTGGAGGAGGGGCTCTGTAAGGAAGTGGCAGAATTTTCCAGCTGTGTATTTTCAAATTCTAGCGCACTCGAGCCGGTTTCCCCAAAATGACCTACCCCACCTTTTTTGAAGCAGTTTCACATAAAAAAAAATCAATGTTTCCCCAATGCAGATTGGTAGAAAGCCGACATCCCAGGGAGCTTTAAGCCGAGTTGACACTAATGTTTGCCCAGAATTATATGCAAATGTCTTATTCTCTCCAAAACAAACAGACCAGGGGCCGTATTCACAAAGGATTTTTGGGCTAAAAGTAGCTCCTAACTGGCGAATTTAGGAGAAACTCCTAAGCATAATGGGCAGTCTTAAATCTTACATTTAGGACTCCCTAATTTTTATTCAGCTAAGAAGAGCATTCACAAAGTATTTTAAGGGCCTAAAAAGTAGCACCTAAGTCTGGGAGAGCTAAAAGTCCTCGAGAGACTCCTAACTCAGTAAGACCGTATTCACAAAGAATCTTGAAAATGGGCTGAGAGACGAAATGTTTTTGGAGACAATGGAAGACTGTGAATTTGATCAAAGAGATATTAGGCTTAAATCGTGAGGGTATCCAAACTTGTTTGGTGGGAATTAGTGCGGGGATGCAATAACATCCCGCGACTAACAGAATATACCCGATTAGTCCTGCGGAAATAAAATGTTTTTGCAACGCTACGTATTAGCAACAGGGAAAATGCCAACTTTGCATGGCCGGACGATTTTAGGAATATCGCAACGCATCTGTGTGCTGTGCCATAAAACCAAACCATCAACGCGCTCTTCTAAAGACCACATATCATCCACAAGTTTATCCGGTTTCTTTGGACCCAACAACAACTACACAGGATCAAAAGCCCAACTTCATGGCAATGCAGGTATGCCCGGTGTGGTCGGTGCTATTGCGCGGACCGCATATAAAAATAATTGGCGGCCATCAAAAGATGAGGACGTGTTCGTCCATAGAAAGAGAGTACAATTCCATCAACACGCAGATTGGTTTTCATTCATCATGATACGTGGACTTGAACGGCGTATGGGCTGTTATATGGAAAGTGTTTAAGTGCTGGAAATATGCTCATTGGATAATAGTTTTGCAAGGGTGCCTTTTAATTCGCCTCTCCTCGAATTTAATGCCATTTACGTATTTTTATTGTTTGCTCCTCTCTCCTTTAACGTGCATATACAACGTCATTATCGTGGTCTGGCACAAACTTGTCATCATGTGTGTATTTCTTGCTAACTGCACTGTCCATAACATATTTGATAGGAATACATTTCTAGGCCTAGGCTTATTTCCTTGTTTTTTCGGTGATTTAGTGGGCTCGTTTGTGGGATGTGCGGATGAGTTTCACGAGACCGGCCTACTCTGAAACAACCAATTCACCGTACTGACCGCTTCTTAACTCATGCACGAGAATTCGACGTCATCTCATCAGCAACGCGGCGTCACTCTTAGTCCAACTCTTTAGGTGATTTATCCTTAGTATGAGTAGGTCTCAGCGGCCTTTGTGAATAAAACTTTTAGAAAAAACTCCTTACGTAAAAATGTTTTAGCGGAGTTAGGAGGCATCTCCTAGGCGGTACGATGAAAAAATAAAATGCTTTGTGAATACGGACCGCCAGGTGAGTAAAAAAACGGTAAAAATAATGAATGCAGCCATGACCGACACTCAGAATAGTCAATTTTTTAGCTTAGGAACCTTTTAGCTTACGGAACAGGGCGGACTGGGACAATAAGTCACGGCCGGGGAGTGTATACACCTCAGCCAGGCCACTAACCAGTTTCTTTTTGTGGCCCATTTTCCTGGATTTATTTGTCAATATTTACAGAGTTGCTACCCATAGTGATAGCTAGCCCTAAAAAACTTGAAATCTACTAACCCGAATCAAACATATTGAGATAGAGTTACTATATTTTTTTTTAAAAGTGCATAAAATTAGGAACCTGTCCATGTGAACATATTTTAAAATGGAGGTGGACCTCTCGAAAATCCTCTAGGGGGGTCCGGGGGCCATGCTCCCCCGGTAGATTGTTGTTTTTAAATGTTGGACTTAAAATGCATCAATACCCATATGAAAAAGAACTGTATACATTTAAAATAATCATAAAATCATAAGGGACAGGGCCATAACCAATTAACAATATGGATTTTTTTTTAAAACTTGTTTATTTATTGTTTTTGGTTCATTTATAGTTGTGAGTGGTGGTCTGGGCTCCTGAATCAGCCTCACCTGTCTCCCCTTCTCCTCTTTTGAAGGCAAGCAGCAAAGACTAGTTTTAGGCTCTCAACAGTTTTTTAAGAGTTTATCTTACCTTTTTTCACTGTTAACAATTTTTTATTATTATCATGCATTATTTTACTAATCACTTACCCCTCAAATGGAAATATGCGTAACTTTACAATAATGGTGACCAAACCGTTTTGGAGACCCACAGAGAACTTAGACTAAGTTAACTTAAACACTCAGAGTCCTTTACCCTCACCTGAGCTGTAGTTATTCAGGTCTCTCAGTCTGAACAGGAGGGGACTTCTCCTCCACTTTTTTGACCGCTCATTATTCTCCGTTAGCGCAGCTAGGCTAGCACCAGATGCTAACAACAACAAAACACGTAAACCGGTGCGCGCGCTTTCTCTCACGCTCGCTCGCGGCCACACACATACACAACCCTCCGAGCCGTTGAATGGACACAGAGACCAATCGAGGGCATTAGTATGATCTGTATTGAATGTGGCCATGTCGGCAGTCCACATCATGTAGACAGCCAGTCACCCTCTGTGAGGAAAGAGTCAGACCCACATTTGCGCAGCGTTGCGTTCCACCCAATAACATACATAAAATAAAAAATTCCTCAGCCAGCAGGCCACTTACAGGCCAGGCTTTGGCCAGTCCGGCCTGCTTAGGAACCCTTCCTAACGGAGTGAAATGACACCGGAAGATACCTCAGTGGCCAGCCATCGAATAAGAGCCGTTCGAATTCTCTAGACTCTAGAGCAGGGATGGCAAACTGGCGGCCCGCGGGCCGCATTGTGGCCACCGCCCTCAACTTTGTGCGGCCCGCGAGTCAATTTACAAAAATATATTGGTTTCACAGTTGTAAACAAGCAAATCATTGAACCAGACCCCACTTGTAATTAATAATATTCACCCGCTAGAGGGGCGCTTCCCCCAAATTATGTGGCCTGCAGCCAAGTGTATATTGTCTTCTGGTTTACCTCGCGGCTTTCCTCCGTTAGCGGGAAAAGAAACATGAGCGCCCAAAAAAGAAAAACTGAACCTAGAATAAACGTCTTCTTTCAGCCACCTCGCGAAATAGATTATCTGTTTACAGAATTCAAAGGCAAACCTATGTGGTTTGGTGTGTCTTTCTAAACTATAAATCGGCAATGAAGGACTACAATTTAAGTCGCCACTACAACAGCACCCATAAAGACAAATATGAAAAGCACACAGGAGCTGCCAGAGTCGCCATCGTTGCTGAACTNCACACACACACACACACACACACACGCACACACACACACACACACACACACACACACACACACACACACACACACACACACACACACACACACACACACACACACACACACACACACACACAGAAGTTATATTTATGAGTGTGCTGCTGGCCCCGGGCTCAACGCTACTGTCTCTGACTGTCAGCATTGTGCGTTGGCCCCAAACGAAAATGTAATAACACACTCTGAGTTGCTGTTGTTTTTCCAGACGACTAACACCATTTGGGCCTAGGACGAATACTTCCTGGGGCGCTGCTGTCACTGCTGGTGGTAAATATGAAGTCTGCCTGTAACATGGTCTCCTTTTTAGAGCTACATGTCAACAGTGCGCCAATAACCATCATTACTAAATGGTTAATTGGTAGTATATCAAACTCTAGCTATATTACAAGGAGCGAAAAGGGATCATAACTGATAACATACGATAACAGTGATCCATCAAGCAAAAAAGGGCCCGAGTTATTAACATTGATATGTTACATTCATCTTGTATAACATTGTTGCCTCTATGGAGCATGCAAGGTAGTTTGTAACTCAAAAACATGATTGATTGAGCTCTTTGCTTCTCTTTCATATTAAAAAGGGACATATTCTGCTCATTTTCAGTTTCATATTTGTATGTGGTGTCTCTACTGTGACATGTTTTCATGCTTTAATGTTCAAAAAACTCTTTATTTTTCTCATACTGCCTGTGCTGCAGCACCTCTTTTCACCCTCTGTTTGAAACCAGAGCCCAGTCTGCTCTGATTGGTTAGCTGGCCGGCTCTGTTGTGAACCCCAACATCCTAATGTCTTCTTGAATGTTATTAATTATAATTTTCCTAAAGCTATATTTTGTTTGTAGTTAAATTACCAACCAATCCAAGACAACTGTTTAGGGGAAGATATTGTCTTGGATAATGTTGTTTTTA